GTCTTTGAAACACCGACACCCTTTTCCTTTTCTTTATGACGTCAGTGGATGAGACTTCTTCTTCCGAGACATGATTTGCATTTGCTCTCTTGATGGCAATTCTAATTGGACTCGTTACCACATAACCAAGACTTGCCCGATTGTGCTTTTGCTCTTGAGGTATGAGCTTTCCCAAAGAGCGACTTTCATTGGGGTTGTATCCTGCTTTGACGAGAAGCTTGTAGGCTTTTGGATCAAAACACTTTGAGTTCTTCAATCTTTCACTATGCTCCGTTACGGCTCCGTTGCTTGGACGAACAAACTTGGTAAGTGGTTGGGAGATAGGTTTCCCGTCATTTATCTTCGGCAGCGGCAACATTAACTCTTTCAAAGCGTTTTCTATCTTTTCAATCCTTGGCTCTTCACTCTCAGACCCTTTCTGCTGCTTAGACAGGACTTTCTCAACTGGTTTTGCATCCTTGAAATAGTATTTGGCATCAGCGAAATGAGTTTCAGCCTCCGTAAAAGGTTTATCATCTCCAAGCACGGTCTTCACAACGCCATTTTTGTAATATTTGAAGCATTGATGCCATGTTGACGGAACCACACCATTCTCATGAAGCCACGGACGACCAAGAAGCATGTTGTAAGTCTTTGCGTTGATAACATGGAACATTGCGGTTGATTCCATATCTTCCATCAACAACTCCAACCTTATGATGCCAAGAGCTCTTTGCCCCCTTGGTTAAAGCCTTGAATCATCAGTCGACTATTACCAAGTTCTTCGGTAGTCATTCCTAACTCTTTCAGCGTGCGAAGAGGCAAGATGTTGACTGCTTATCCTCCATCGATCAATATCTGTATCACCTTTTGCTCTTGCACATATCCGGCCATGAACAAGGGTCTGTTGTGTGGCTTAGAACCAAGCAGCAAATCTTCGTCAGTAAAGACCATCATGGAATCGTTATCAACATGGTGAGTTTCAACCTCAGGCCTATTATTTTCTTCTAGCGGAGCTTCGTGCTTATTTGTCATGTTGCAAAGCTTCGCTTATATGATTAGCAGTTGCACTGCTTTCTTCCAGTGAGATTTTTCCTTGGCGTGTCAGCTGCATAACCTTGTCCTTGAATACGAAGCAATCATGAATTGGATGCCCTACAAGACGGTGGTATTTGCAATATTTTGGGTCGTTCACCCTACCGGCTTCTTCAGGACGCTTCATCTTGGGTAACTCAATAAGCTTCACTTCCATTAGATCGTCAAATATGCCAGAGACGTCTGAATCAAAGAACGGGTACTGCTTTGCTTGCATTTCTTTTAGAGTCAATCTTCTTTGTTCAGTTTCCTTGGGGACATCCTTCTTTTCAACGGTTTTATCAGCGACTTTTCCTTTAAACTTGACAGGCATAGCATTGATCATCATGGACTCCTTACTTTGAGATTTCGAAGAAAACTTGCCCCCTCTCCTTTGGTCATATCTATCCTTGGAGCTTTGGGGTTCTTGGATTGGAGGACCATTAGCTCCGCTTGCGGCCATGCTTAGCTCCATGTCGTGGGCTCGAGTTGCTAGCTCTTCGAATGTTTTCGGCCGAATACCTTGAAGGATGTAACTAAGACCCCAACTCATACCTTGAATGCACATCTCAATGGCAGAAGCTTTAGAAAGACGATCTTTGCAGTTTAGACTTAGGTTCCTCCACCTATTGATGTAGTCGATGACTGGCTCTTCCTTCCATTGTCGAGATGTAGTGAGCTGGATCATGCTGACTGTACGTCTCGTGCTGTAAAAGCGACTAAGGAATTCGTGCTCCATTTGCTCCCAGCTATCGATGGAGTTTGCTTCTAAATCAGTGTACCAGTCAAATGCAACCCCTTTGAGGGAACGAACAAACTGCTTCACGAGATAATCACCATGGGTTCCCGCATCGTTGCATGTCTCAATAAAGTGGGCTATATGTTGCTTCGGGTTGCCTTTGACATCAAACTGCTGGAACTTGGGAGGTTGATATCCAACAGGCATCCTCAAGTTATCGATCCTTGGTGAATATGGCTTGATGTAGCTGTGGGTTGACTTGGAACCACCATCAAGTTTATCCTTAATTGTCCCCATGATAAAATCCTTCAGCTGATCAATGGGGATCATTCCCGTGGACGAATGTTGGAATGGAGTCTTTTCTCTTTCTTGATATTGCTCTTGCTTGGACGTTTCAGACTCTTCACGATCTTCAGTTCGTTTGCCCTTCGCGTGGCTTGTTTCAGCATTGTCGACCTTGTCCATTCTTTGAAATTTGAGAGTCTTGCTCTTCGACCTTCTTCGCGAGCCCTTCAATAACCTTCGTTAAGCTTGCGATGTGCTCTTCAAGAGTTGAAGCATTGGTCGTCATAGCCGGAGCGACACTTGAGCTTGATGAAGAACTTGATGATGAACGAGGAGTTGAAGAAGCAGAGTCGTCTTCATCACCTCCGTGGGTAAGATGCAGCTTATCACTTCCAGTCACCTCGTGCAAAGGAGCCGTCTCCGAAGATGTTTGCAGTTGCTTGGCCATGCTTCTTGTAACGACGCCGAGGTTGGAACTTGAGGAACTTATTGAAGGAATCTTGACTACGGCGATCTTGCGGCTAGTCATGATGACTTGAGGAACTTTGGAGAAGAGATGAGAGGTAGAGATGTCCCACCGGGCGTGCCAAATTTGTAACAACAAATTTCGTGTATTGAATTTAAAAACACGAAAAATATTATTCAAATAAATTTCACGAATCAAAATATAGCGGGTTACAATCTCTATTATTCCTCTGATTCTTCTCACAAACAATATTTAAGTCTTGGAGCGAAATCTTCGGCTTGATCTTCTCCTTGACTTGATTTGACTTGAATTAACGTAATCCGAGGGCTTGAAAGCTTTTTCCCGGATCAAACGTCAAAATATCCCAAGAACGCGAAGAACACGAATCCTTGGTCTTCGCCGCAAAGTAGATCTCGAATCTTCTTCACGCCGGTTTTGAATTTGCTAACGTTATTCGGAGGCTTCGCAGCTTGTTTCCGGATTGAACGCTAGTCTTGAGGTTGTACGCGCTTGAATCTTGCTTTGAATCTTCAAGAACGCCTTTAAATCTTCAAGAACACTTGAATCTCGTCGAGAGATCTTGAACTTGAACTTGAATATGAACGTAATTCGGAGGCTTGATAGCTTGTTTCCGGATTTAAACGTCAGTTTTGAGCTTGAACTTGCTTGAATCTTCCTTCGAATCTTCAAGAACGGCTTTGAAACTCCAAGAACACTTGAAACTCGTTGAGAGAATTCTCTAGAGCTCTTGAACTTGAATATGAATTATGAAGTGTGTTTTTGACATTAGGGAGAGCGCCTATTTATAGGTGTAGGAGAGAGCACCCTACCAAATTTAAGAATCGTAGGACGCGATTTGATTGGTCCATGATGATTCACATAAGATCTTTAAGATCTATTTAGATCTCCCAAGATCTTATAGATCCACTTAAATCTTCCAAGATCTTCTAGAAGATATGATTTATTTACCAAGAATAAGGATTTGACACTTGACATTATTTGATTGGTCAAGAATTAAAATATTAAAATATCAATTAATTAACTATTTAAATTTAGGAATTAAATATGTGGAAATTCCTAAAATATAAATAGAAAATATAACTTGATTTTTAATAAATTAATTTCCACGAGGCGCGATTTGATTGGACACAATTTTTATGTATCTACACACACTATTCTAATTAATTAAGTAATATTATGGGTCACTAACATTATTGCACTCTATTTTCTTAGCCAAATTTACAATTGAGAATACAATAATAATTACTCGAATTAACTCCCCATGCTTAAGATATAATGTCTATTAATTAATTCGATTACTGATAATCAAGAATTAATTAATTTATTATTATTTCACTGAAACTAGCGCTCGTTCATCACATTCTTACTATGCCGGAATTTAATTCACCTGCAGGGTTTAGCATAATAATCTTTTATGAACTCACTCTGGGGACATCATCAAACTAAACGTACATGGTGACCGTAAATATCCTAACAACACATCATACATGCAACAATATTTCTCAAGACAGTGGGTCTATTGATTCGATTCACTAAACCTCACTCATGTGAATCAAAGTAATATATACTGCATGTATATGTCAATTTAATATCTTACGGGTTAAAAGAACGCAATAATTAACCGAGGCCTAGTTCGTTTGCGACGATCTATATAAAACGAACTTCTCCTCTCTGGGATCATGTTCAATACATAAATGTACTAGTGCAACTAATCAGTCAAGACAAACTGTACCGTTAACACTACAACCGTTCGGATGGGGTGTTCATGTCCATCTAGGTTGTGAACCATAATTCTTGTTTCGCAAGTAATTGATAGAATGATTTTCGATTCGCCCGATAACGACCCACCCTATCTAATTTCAAAACAACAGAACATAGAACTTGTTTAATCTAACATGATTATCATTCATAAATGGTAAAAGTGCAGTATCATCCAAAGTCAAACTTTTAGTATATAACACTTAACACTACATATGTGACGAGATATGCTTATTGGGCTCTCCGAACGCTTATTTCTCCGAACCAACTTGTCTAGCTAATCCTTGATTTATAATTCGAGCTAACCACAATCGATTCAACCAAGCTATCTGTATATGTTATATCATCCAATATTGTATTCATAGAAGTGTTTCAAAGTATATAATAAATATTTATTTTACTTTATTTTACCTTTTTTTTTGTTATTTTTGCATAAATAAAATATCTATTTAGATAACTTTACTCACAACACCGGGCCCCTTTTTAACACCGACCGCACAACTTTATTTAGTCCGTCTTAACCATTAGGTCAAAGTGAGTTGCGTAGATAACCCTTTTTGTAGAAGTATGAGAGCGCCTCGTTGAACAAGTGACGGCAGTAGTGAACCCACACAACACTTGAAGATCACACACTATTATACATAATACAATATTGATCAGGACTCGGCACACTAATCGATGCTCGCCATTAGAGTCACCTCCATCTCCCTCAATCTACACGCTTCGACTTCAGCTACACGCCTCTCTCATCTCGCCCCCTCGATTTTAACGAAATTTCAATTTAGGCCCTTCTGGAGCGTTTCTTCAGCGTTCACGCCCCTCTCGGCCCGAAGATCATCTCCATCAGCCCGCAATATGGCTTACGCAACTGCTCGGGCCACACTTGGCCTCACTCAACCCAATAAGATCGACCCGCCAAAGGTACTGGCCTTTTGTCCTTTGCGTTTTCTTGTTACGCGTCGAGGTTTGCTGATATGTGTGTTTTTTTCGTTTTCTGAATGACCGTATTTGGGTGAAAAATGAATGGCATGCTGTTTTGCTGTTTTATATAAGCGATAGATGTTGCTGTAGTATAGTTATAATTTGATTTTGAATCCATAGTTATTGGGATGCACAACCTCCTACAATTTTGATTGTTTTCATGTGTGGTTGAAACCTTTCGCATTAATTGTTTGTGTCACAGCTGCATATCTTATTTCTAGCGTCCTGTGTCAGTGTGTGTGTGTGTGTGTGTTTTCCTGTTAAACTTTTGTTTGGATTGGCATAAACGAAAATTGTATAAATTATAATTTGACATGTTTGTTTTACTAGATCGCATTCACTGCAAAAGAGATTGATTTGGTTGAATGGAAAGGGGACATACTTGCCGTTGGCGTGACCGAAAAGGACATGGCGAAAGATGAAAATTCAAAATTTAAGAATCCAATCCTCCAAAAGCTCGATACACATTTAGGGGGATTGCTCTCAGAAGCCTCGTCTGAGGAGGATTTTACTGGGAAATCCGGACAGTTGACACTTCTGAGGCTTCCTGGCTTTGGTTCGAAAAGAATAGGTCTGATCGGGCTCGGTTCAACAGTTACACCGGCTGTGACTTACCGCAGTCTAGGAGAGGCTGTTGCTTTAGCGGCCAAGTCGTCGCAGGCGAGCAATGTGGCCATTGCAGTTGCTTCATCTGAGGTCATCCCTGCAGAATTAAAGCAGAGTACAGCCTCAGCAATAGCTGCTGGTACTTTTTTTTAATCTCTGTTTAAATATGTGTGTCCATTTGAATCTGAACCGGCTTATTATTTAGGTTGAGTTTTTTTTGTACAGGGGCTGTTTTGGGGACTTTTGATGATAACAGATTTAAGTCGGAATCGAAGCTCCCGTCTCTTAAGTCGGTGGATATTCTTGGGCTTGGTACTGGGCCTGAGATAGAGAAAAAACTCAAATACGCCGGTGATGTTTGCTCTGGTATCATCTTTGGAAAGGAGCTTGTAAATGCACCGGCCAATGTACTCACTCCTGGTTCGTAATGTTGCATTATTTATCATTCCAAATTGTTCTCTTTTTCGAATCAAGTTTTACCAAATAAGAATTGGGGATACTGACAGAAGTTATTCTTCTGATTAGAATGACTTCAATATTTCCATATCACTACACATTATAGATATCCCATGCCTGATGAACACTGACCTGCCTCAAGATTGCAATTGGTAAAATAATTTCAATTGTCAATACGGTATTTATCTGGATTTTTTCACTAATCAAGCTGAACAAACAGGGTAACATGCGTAATTAACTGTAAAAGAGATTTGTGTTTGTGCTGATGGGGGATCCCCAAGATTTTCTTTTTCTTTCCCTCTTATTTTTTTTCCAAAAAGTAAGCGTAAAAAAATTCTGAGGTTCTTTCTCTATATTGTTTTTTGGTGTTGATTTGGACCTTCGATATGGTAAATTTGTCCAATTTTTCAATAGGTCTCTTTTTGTAAATTTCAGGAGTACTAGCAGGCGAAGCCAAAAGGATTGCTTTGGAGCACAGTGATGTATTGACTGCAAAAATATTAGATGTGGAACAGTGCAAAGAATTGAAAATGGGTTCGTATTTGGGTGTGGCAGCAGCTTCTGCCAATCCTCCTCATTTTATCCATCTTTGTTACAAGCCGCCTGGTGGACAAGTGAAAACCAAGCTGGCCTTAGTTGGAAAAGGCTTGACTTTCGACAGGCGAGGAAAAGAATTAATTTTGATAATTTAGTTTCCCCATTTTGGTCATGTATTAGTTTCCCCATTTTGGTCATGTATTATGCTTGTAAAGTTCTTTTCCTGTCATGCTTAGTATTGAATGACTTGTCATTATTCAGTGGTGGCTACAATATCAAGACGGGGCCTGGCTGTTCTATTGAACTCATGAAGTTTGATATGGGCGGCTCAGCTGCAGTGCTAGGCGCAGCAAAAGCTCTTGGTCAGATCAAGCCTGCTGGAGTAGAGGTATACTGTCTCTTTCTCCCTCTCTCTCTCTCTCTCTCTCTCTCTCTCTCATGTTCCTTTCATCGATGCTTATACAGGCTATGCTGTTTGCTTGATTTCTTCACTACCAAGTTATAGTTATTTGTCATTCCCATTTTGTTCCCTCCTATGACTACATTTTTTATCTGCTAGAATTTGGAGATGGATTAAATCTTATAATTTTACAGGTTCACTTCATTGTTGCTGCTTGTGAAAATATGATAAGTGGAACGGGCATGAGACCTGGAGACATCATTACTGCATCGAATGGGAAGACGATTGAGGTTATCCTTTGCATTACATTTCATTGATTAAATTTTCTTCTTTTATTCTTGGGGCGTATTGCCATTCTTGCCTTCTATATCAATTCACTTTACTTTTTACCTGACATATACACCTCCGTATGCGGAGGTAGAATCTTCTTCTTCTTTTTTTTT